TTCAAATTCATCACAGGAAAAAATCCATCAAGATAAAGTCTTGTTTCTGAACATCTATGCTCCAAATACAAAGGCACCAACATTTGTAAAAGAAGCATTGCTAAAACTCAAATCACACAGAAAACCTCACACACTAATAGTGGAAGATTTCAACACCCCACTATCACCACTAGACAGAACAAACGGACAACAACTTAAAGAAACAAAGGAACTAACATAAGTTGTTAACCAATTGGGTTTAAGAGACATCTATAGAACATCCAATCCAAACACAAAAGAATATATCTTCTTCTTAGCTTCACATGGAACCTTCTCTAAAATCTATCACATACTAGACAACATAGAAAACCTCAACAGGAACAAAAATTGTAATAACCCCCTGTATCTTATCAGACCATCATGTTTTAAAATTAGAATTCAAAAACAACACAAATTGCAGAAACCCTACAAACTCATGGAAATTGAACAATGCACAATTGCAAAATCCTTGGGTCAAGGAAGAAATAAAGAAAGAAATTAAAGGCATCCTAGAATTCAACAAGAATGAAGATACAACACAACCAAACTTATGGGACACTTTGAAAGCAGTGCTAAGAGGAAAGTTCATAGCACTAAGTGCCCACATGAAGAAGCTGGAGAATAGTCACACTAGAGAATTAACAGCACAACTGAAAGCTCCAGAACACAAAGAAGCAAACTCACCCCTGAGGAGTACACCCCAGGGTAGAAATCAATAAAGTCAAAAAAAAAAAAAAAAAGAAAACAATTCAAAGAATCAATGCAACAAAGAGTTGGTTCTTTGAGAAAATCAACAAGATAGACAAACCTTTATCCAAAGTTACCAAAAGGCAGAGAGTTAACATGCAAATTAACAAAATCAGAAATGAAATAGGGAACATTTTCAAGAAATACTGAGGAAATCCAGAGAATCATCAGGTCATACATTGAAAACCTGTACTCCTCAAAATTCTAAAATCTAAAGGAAACTGACAATTTTCTGGATAGACAACATTTACCAAAATTCAATCAAGAACAGATAAGCATCTAAACAGACCTATAACCCCTAATAAAACAGAAGAAGTCATCAAAAGTCTCCCAACCAAAAAGCCCAGGACCAGATGGTTTCAGGGCAGAATTCTACCAAAAATTCAAAGAAGAGTACTCCTCAAACTGTTCCACATAATAGAAGCAGAAGGGTCATTGCCAAACTCTTTTTATGGGGCTGCAAGTACCTTGGTACCAAAGCCATACAAAGACACAACTAAAAAGAGAACTATAGACCAATATCCCTCACAAATATTGATGCAAAAACATTCAATAAAATACTGGTAAATCGAGTCCAAGAACACATCAGAGAAATTATCCACCATGACCACATAGGCTTCATCCCAGGGATGCAGGGATGGTGTGACATAAGAAAATCTATCAAAGTAATTCACCATATAAAAAACTGCAAAAGAAAAACCACATGATCATCTCACTAGATGCTGAAAAAGCCTTTGAAAAAATCAAACCCCCTTCATGATAAAGGTCTTGGAGTGACCAGGTATAACAGGAACATACTTAAACATAATAAAAGCAATATACATTAAACCCACAACCAACATTAAACTAAACAGAGAGAAACTCAATGCTATTTCTCTAAAATCAGGAACAAGGCTGTCCACTCTCTCCATATCTCTTCAATATTGTATTTGAAGTTCTAGCTAGAACAATAAAACAACAAAAGGAGATCAAGGAGTTGGGAAGAAGTCAAACTTTCACTATTGCAGATGATTTGATAGTTTATATAAGTGGCCCAAAAAACCGCTACCAGGGAATTCCTACAGCTGATAAACACCTTCAGCAAAGTGACAGGATACAAGATTAACTAAAAAAAATCAGTAGCCTATATATATATATATATATATATATATGATAAATGGGCTGAGAAAGAAATTGGAGAAACATCACCCTTTACAATAGCCAGAAACAACATAAAATATCTTTGGATAATGCTAACCAAACAAGTGAAAGACCTGTATAGGAAGAACTTTGAGTCTTCAAAGAAAGAAATTAAAGAAGATTGCAGAAAATGGAAAGATCTCTCATGCTCTTGGATAGGTAGGATCAACATAGTAAAAATGGCAATCTTGCCAAAAGCAATCTAGAGATTTAATGTAATCCCCATCAAAATCCCAGTATTATTCTTCACAGACCTTGAAATAACAATTCTCAACTATATATGGAAAAACAAAAGACCTAGAATAGCCAAAACAACCAGGTACAATAAAGGAACTTCCTGAGGCATCACCATTTCTGACTTCAAGTTCTATGATACAGCTATAGTATGATACAGCTTCGTACTGGCACAAAAATAGACAGGTAGACCAATGGAATAGAATTGAAAATCCTGATATTAACCCACACACCTGTGGACACCTGATTTTTGACAAAGAATCTAAAATTATACACTGGAAAAAAAGAGCATTTTCAACAAATCGTGCTTGCATAACTAGATGCTAGCATGTAGAAGAATGCAGAAAGATACCTATCCATCGCCATGCACAAAACTTAAGTTCAAATGTATCAAAGACCTCAATATAAATCTAGCCACATTGAATCTGTTAGAAGAGAAAGTGGGAAGTACTCTTGAATTACTTGGTACCGTAGTCTGCTTCTTGAACACCAGTAGCACAGACACTGAGATCAACAATTAACAAATGGGACCTCCTGAAACTGAGAAGCTTCTGCAAGGCAAAGGACACAGTCAACAATACAAAATGGCAGCACACAGAATGGGAAAAGATATTCACCAACCCCACATCTGACAGAGGGCTGATTTCAAAAATATACAAAGAACTCAAGAAGCTAGTCTCCAAAACACCAAATAATCCAAGTAAAAAGTGGGGTAAAATACTAAATAGAGAATTCTCAATAGAGGAATCTAAAGTGGCTGAAAGACACACAAGAAAGTTCTTAAATTCCTTAGCCATCAGGGAAATGCCAATTAAAACAACTCTGAGATACCATCTTACTCATGTCAAAATGGCTAAAATCAAAAGCACCAATGACAGTCTATGCTGGAGAGGATGTGGAGAAAGGGGAACACTCCTCCACTGCTGGTGAAAGTGCAAAATCATAAAGACACTTTGGAAATCAGTATTGTGGTTCTTCAGGAAAATGGCAATCAGTCTACCCCAAGATCCAGCAATTCCACTCTTAGGCATATACCCAAAAGAAGCAGATTCAAGCAACAAGGACATCTGTTCAATGATGTTCAGACAGCATTATTTGTAATAGCCAGAACCTGGAAGCAACCTAGATGCCCATCAACTGAAGAATGAATAAAGAAAATGTGGTACATTTACACAATGGAGTACTAGTCAGCAGAAAAAAAAAAACCAATGGAATCTTGAAATTTTCAGGCAAATGGATGGAACTAGAAGAAACTATCCTGAGTGAGGTAACCCAGTCACAAAAAGACAAACATAGTGTGTACTCACTCATATATAGATTTTAGAACTAAAACAAAGAATTAGGGTCTACAATCCACACACCAGACAAGCTAGGAAACAAGGAGGACCCTAAAAGAGACAGACATGGTCCCCTGGAGAAGGGGAAAGGGACAAGATCTCTTGATCACATTGGGGGTGTAGGGGAGGGGAGAGGGAGCTAGGAGAAACAGAAAGGGAGAGGAGGACATGAAAGAGGAGGAAGATATAGTTGGGGGAAAAATAGAGGAGATCACAAAAAGAGATACCATAATAGAGAGAGCAATTATAGGTTTAAAGAGAAATCTGGCACTAGGGAAATGTCCAGGGATCTACAAGTGCGACCCCAACTAACAATCTAAGCAATACTGGAGAGACTACCTTAAATGCCCTTCTATGATAATGAGATTGATGACTACCTTACATGACACCCTAGAGCCCTCATCTAGTAGCTGATGGAAGCATAAGCAGACATCCACATCTAAACACTGGCTGAACTCCTGGAATGCAGTGCAGAGAGGGAGGAATGATGAGCAAAGGGGTCAAGACCTGGCTGCTGAAACACACAGAAACAGCTGACCTGAACAAGTGGGAGCTCATGGACCCCAGACTGATAGCTGGGAAACCAGCATAGGACTAACTCAGACCCCTGAATATGGGTGTCAGTTAGGAGGCCTGGGCAATCTATGGGTCCTATGGCAGTGGATCAGTATTTATCCTTATTATATAAATGGACTTTGGGAGCCTATTACACACAGAGGGATACTGTCTCAGCCTAGACACACGGGGGTAGGGGGGTGGTAGGTCCTGCTCCAAATGATATGACAGACATTAACGATCCCCCATGGAAGGCTTCACCCTCCCTGGGGAGCAGAAAAGGGATGGGATCAGGGTTGGTGGGGGCAGAGGAGGAGAGGAGGGAGAGGGAACTGGCATTGACATGTAAAACAAGCTTGTTTTTAATTTAAATTTAAAAAGGAAAAAATATAGATACATGCTGATATAGCCTATGCTGTCCCGACATTTAGGTAAGATTCATACATTTTCATAAAATATTCTCACAATGGGATGAAGAATTATTTTTTTTTCTCTCAAATGAGTTATCCATATTTCTGAATTTCTCTGTAGTAGGTACTATGTTTTCACTATTGTATATCTAGATGTTATTTGGACAATTTAAAACCACTTTTTGGACTCTGAATACTAAATTACACAAAATTGATTAATGAGCTAATTGTTCAACCTTTCACTTCAGTTTGCCTGTGTGTACAATTTAAGATCCTTTTGTTATTTATATTCACCTAAATTCACATCCTATCCCTGTTGAGATTAGCAATCAGATTTCTAATTATTTTTCCAAAGTGGGTTTGTGGGCTTATTTCTTACACAAGTGAAAAAAAATAATGGATAGCTAATATGGAAAGTGTTAAACTTTTCTTTAAATCCTTATGTGCCAATAATATGTCTTTCCATAATCCACCAGTGAGCTCCATAAATAGAACTGATAAAATTGTATAGACAACTCACCATCATTTCTCAGGATTAGTGGTGTGGGCGGTCCCAGGACCTTGTGGTTTGTCACAGTATTGGTAACTACACAGGTATAATTCCCAACATCGGATTTTTCTACTTTGGCAATATACAGATTCCCAGTCTCTTGAGAAACAAAGCGGCGGTTATCCTGATAGGAAGGGTATTCATTGAAGATCCAGGCATAGCTCAGCTCTGCAAATACAAGAATCACATCGGTAAATAAGTCTGTTGTCCCTGGATGTTTACTACATTTAGAAGAGAAGTGGTCAAGGTAGAAACTGAGATGATTGCTCTTCACCCTGTAAATGTAAATGGGAGGTATTCACAAAAGGCTTCCTACTGTCAGTCAAAGATAATGTCTTATTTCAAGAGGACTAGAAGATACCCAGGAAGTTGACTCAGAGAGACCCAGCCTTTAGAAGTCAAAGGAATAAACATGTGTCAAGTACTTTGCAGCAAGTTCTAAAGGAATCCAATGTTAAAGACCCAACATACAACCTCGATATAGTCATGTAAGATGCTACCATTGACACTATTTAGATCACTTTCCTTATACAATAATGATGACTATAGTGCATTGGATTACAGGTTTGTAAAGTACAATGTGTATTTGATGCCTTTCATCCCTTTCATTAACTCAGGAGCTTTGAAAAAGAAAAACAAAGTAATTAATCCAAATTCTTAATCCTTAAACAGAGTAATCATTGATATTCAATCCATTCCTTTCCCAACTTCTCCCACTCTCAACTGAATTTCTCTTCTCTTCTTATGTAGAAGGTTGATTACTTCTCTAAAATGTTAATAAGATGGTATTTAAATGTTGCTGTTATTACTCACCAAAGACACACTTAATTATTCCACACATAAAAATATATCCTTCAAACTATAGTGGAAAAATGTTGTATCTATAAGAAGTGAGTCTGGAGTAGTAGTCAGAGAAGCATGCTTACAAATACTTGCTTATCCTAGAATGCAGTGGGCAAAGTGAACAGAGCAGTCTGGTTTGGAAATATTCCTTTGACAGTTCTTGGTTACACATGAGCTCCTGCTTTGAATTCAAAGAACTCCAGATGACAAAGAATTTATCTGACTGGCTGCAGTGAGTCATCATATTCCAAGAACATCAAACTTCTTCAACTCCAGGTACTTCATCCCTCCTCTATATGAAGTGTGAACCATAGATGTGTCCAAAGCTGAAGCAAATCATACTGGCTACTGGCCCTGATTAGTTAAGAATGCTTTTTTCTTTAAAAATCACTTTGTTGGGGAAGGAGAGAAAATAGAAGAAGATACACAGGGAGCTGCTGGTTATAGAAAGAGTTGACTGAGTTACTCTATGGCATTCTTTCATATGATCCTAGTTAAATTCTAAATGCATGAGGGGTCCTTGGCAAATGGCAGAAAGGCCACTTGAGCTTTGTAAAGAAAACACTAATTACTGTAGAAGGCATTTTTGCTGTTTAATCCTTCAGTGAATCCCAACCGTAATTGACCTTAACTACTGAATGTGTAACAAGAAACATGTTTTGCCTTAATAATCCATTGTTGACATACAAAGGAGGGCTTGTGCAGATTGCTCTCCCTTTATCCCAGAATTACAGCATTTCCACATGCATTGTTTTGGAGAGCTATAATTATGTTTCTATGAGAAAAGCTAATTGTTCTATACATGTACATGTAATTCGAGGTAACCCCATGCTAATGTCAAGAGGATTCTTGGCATTATAAACAAGTTCTTCCCAAAGTCATGGAACAATTTCTTCTGATATGAAACATTCTATCCTGGAGAAAAGCTTGTTAAGAATCAGAAAGTACATGAATCTTACAAGGCCCAGGAAGTAAACAAACATGTAAGCCTCAGGAAGTTCCTGAAACTCAATACATTTATAAGACCCTTCTTCAGAGTCATATAAGTAGGAAAACTTCTGGGAAAGAGTGACTCTAACATCAAGTAATGAAAAGAGCCCTGAAGATAAGGCTTTGCTTAGTTGTCACTCATTTAAGGAAGGCTTTTTACAGACACATCTGCCTCCAAGATATCCCTGCTCATGTAAATAAACCCTCACCCATACTTCTGTAACTCACCCCATTCAATTTAATGCTTTTTTGGTCTAGTCTTGGGAAGGGGCATAGGTTCTTTGGTCTATCATTAGCACCCTGTCTGGGGTAAGTAGATATTTGTTTACATTTACAAGAAAAATTACATAAGGATGGAAAGATGGCTCAGCATTTAAGAGCACCTGTTTTTTTCCAGTGGACCTGGGTTTCATTTTCAGCACCCACAGGGCAGCTAACATTCCACCTCCATGGGGTCTGAAGCCCTTTTCTGGCATCCTTAGTTACCAAGAAGACACATGTTACACAGACATAACACTCAGGCAAAATACTCCATAAACATAAAAAACATCTAAAAATTTTTAAAAAGAAAACTCAGACAATAACCAGCAAGTTGACTATTTCCAAAACAAAAGCAAACAAAAAAAAAACAAAATAAACAAAAGGCACCAAAACTTTAAGATAGGAAAAGATCAGATAATGAGGAAACATAATCTAGCAAGGACACCTTCCAGTAAGAAAAGACTTATAAAGGTCAGCAAGGCAGATTCCTTAATCACACATCCAGCAAATCCAACCCTCTCTCAGCATCCCAGTTTTCTACTATGGACAACGAGAAGACCATGTATCCTCTAACAAAAATTTAAATATATGCTAATCTGTCCAAAGTCCCAAAGTAGACTTTACAAAATAATTTACCAAGACAAATTTAAATCAATTCACACTTCTCCAAGAAGAGCTGAAATCAAATATACAAAACTAAATTTTTTCCCTTGAGATAAGTTTTTTTAAAAACCTCTTGTAGTGGCTAGTGGCTGTGAAGTCCTCCAAATTCTGAGGGAGGACTTTAGCAACCAGAAAGCAGCTATTAGAAGAAAGACATCTGGTCTGGAATTTTATAATTAGAGGAAAAGTACCGAAGTTGAAATCTGTGTTACATAAGGGAAACCATTTAAACTCTCTCATTTTCTACTTCTTATCAATAATGTGGTGGTAATTTAAACTGGGATGTAGGTATATGTAGTAATAGTCAGTTTATGCAAAAATCATGGAAATATCTGGGGAGTTGAAGAGATTTGGCTTGTTATGTTGTCTGTCATCAGCTTAATAATTATAAAAGTAAAGTTATCTATTTCATTTGATTCATTCATTATAACATAAAAATAAATGGGTTTCATGAGGCTGTTTTCAGACATACTTAACCTATCACTCCCTCTTCATTATTGCACTCTTTGATGGCATTCATATTCTCCCATCTCTCTCTCTCTCTCTTTTTTTTTAAATGGATTCAGTGAAGCTTAAGTTGTAGTTGCGTTGGTGAATAGCTTGCCTAACATGGAGAAGGGCCTACATTCAGTCTCCAGCACTACATACTACAGGTACAGTAACACACATCTGTCATCTCAGCACTCATGAGGTGAAAGCAGAGTCAGAAGTTCAGGGATGACATCTACAACAGCACAAGTTCAAGGCCAGCCTGGGATACATGAGATCCTGTCTCAAAAAAAGAGAAAAAAGTATTCAGCTAACACACTATCTGATCTATTTGTGAATAAGTTAATTGCTTTAATTTTGCTATATTTGTGACTTAAATGTCTTGGTGATTTCCTTGGATATACAATCAAATCTAAGTGCACACAGCACAGCAGCATCTCCTACCATTTGCTACTTGAATGTGGCTCTCTATTCTACACTCAACCCCTAATTCAAACTGTCACAGGATCAAGTAAGTTACTTGGCAAACTTTTTTTTTTTTCCTTCAAGCAATTTTGATAAGGGTGCTGGTTAGGTTTTTTTTTTTTTTTTTTTTTTGTCTACTTGATATCACCTGGAGTCATCAGGAAGATGGAATTCAGTTGAGGAATGGTCTATAGGCATTTTCTTGGTTGATGATGGGTTTAGGAGGTCCAGCTACTGGGGGCGGGACCACCTCTGTAAAGGTGGTACTGTGATATACAAGCAAAGCAGGCCGAGCAAGATAGTATGCCATGTTCCTCTATGACCTCTTGGTTAGTTTTATTACAGCACATCAGGTACCAATTTTCTGTATCAGTTACTTGGCTTATTTTGGTAATAAAATGACTGACAAAGGCAACATGAGGGGAAATGGTTAGACAGATGTATAGGTCAAAGTCCTTGCAGCACAAACATGAAGAACTGAGTTCAGATTCTAGAGCTGATACAAAGTTGTGCATGCGCACTCCTGTGACTCCCATGCTGTGGGGGGAGGAGAGACAGGAGCATCACCGAGACTTGGAAACTTCCAGCCTAGTTTCAGGATCAGTGACAGATCCTACCTCAAAAGGAATAAAAAGAACAGAGAAGGAGCATGAAACCTGATTTCCTCTTCTAGTCTCTGCAAGTGTGTACACTCAGGTGTGTGTAAATCACATACACATAGCAAACTCAGATATGGGAGTGGCAGAGCGACAGAGGGGAGGGGAGACAGACAGAGAACTCAAAGAGGGTAGGATTTCTTTTGGCCCACAGTTCCAAGATACAGTCCACCATGGTATGGAAGCTTGATATGGGGGAAGGGCATGGTCATTGCATAAGGAAGTTCAAATACTTTGGAATGACTGAACAGTCTCTAGAATATTTCAAAGGCATTTACTTATTGTCCCAGTTTGGTTTTATAACAGTCTAGTAAAGTCATGACAAAAAGCAACTTGGGAAAAAGGTTTATTTGTTCACATATCCCAATAAGAGTCCAATTAAGGGCAGGAACTCAAGGATCTATCACTGACCAAGTAGCACTTATGCTTTGGGGGAAGGGTTTTCTGGAAGAATGTAGAAGAATTTGGAACTCAAGGCAATAAAAGTCATTAAATATCAGCTCTAACTTGTCATAGAATCTTTTTAGTTTATCTCAGGTATAAATTTTAGTATACCACTTGAGTCCATGATTTCCATGAACTCTAATTGGGAAGTTGTAAATCATACTGAAGGGTGGAATTTATTTTCAAATTGAATAAAGGGCAAATTAAAGGTAATGAGGAGGAGATGATGATGATGAATAATGAGGGAGGAAAAGAGAAGGAGGTTGATGAAACAGTAAGTTGTAATAACCTTGTCAAATTATAATAACAATATGATGCCACAACTACTTTCCATGTTCTAAGAAGAGACCAAACCTG